AAGACAGTGTCTTCGAAGTTAAAAGAATACTTACTCTATCTCTAAGAACTAACTCTTAGGTTATCTAAGGATAACCTTTACACTTTGCTAAGCGCCTTTTATTACTATTGCTTATTGCGCTGCTAACTACTATTACTTCTTAAAAGCCTTTCTACATAGCTATAAAAGCGCGATAATTGTTTATAAGCTATCTATTGCGGTAGTAAGGGCTGTCGCGCTGCGTGTTGTAATTATTAGGGACTTTCTATAGTGCCTTAAGGTAGTGCTTATAGTATAGATAAAGCACTATAGCAGCGTAGTAGACAGGCGCGTTGTTAAACTTTAAGTAGTACTGCAATAGTTTCTTATAAGCTAAGTTTACGTTAAGTATAAGGTAGTCTTCTAGCGCTAACAAATTATTATAATTAATATCCTTTAAGCGCTCTTTAAGAGCTTTAAGCTTATTAAGTAGCTACTTAAAAGTAATTAGAACTTCTTATATTACGCTGTAGCAGCTGTGTTTACTGCGTTCCTCTAGTAGCTTAGAGGCCTCTGTAAAGAGCGCTAGAAGCCTTATATACTCTGTAATTATTGCCTAGTTGCTAGCATTTAGGCTACTCTTACGCAGGAAAAGCCTAAGTTCCTAAAACACGCTATTGCTGCCTCTAGGTTGTTATAAGCAGTAAGTAATAACTTTGTTATAGCAGCTCTTAGAAAGCTTATGCTTAATATAGTTATTAAGCAGGCCTTAGAGCTTAATAGCGCGTGTAAAGGCAGCAAAGTATAAGTTCTAGCGCGTTTTAACTAGCCTAATTAGCTCTTAGAGGACAATAGGCTTACCTAATAACTTAGCTTTAACTTATTAGAGCTTCTGTAACAGCTTGCGCGATTAGAGCGTACAGATAGACGCAATAATATTAAATAGTACACTAATAGGCCTATACTAACGCTACTTTTTTATAAAAGCCTCCTTGTCTTTAAGGCTGCTACTAGCGTTCTTGTATACGTTATAGTCTTTGCCCTATATAATAAGTTAAGCTCTAAGATTAAGTATATAGTAGTAGCAGTATAGACGCCGCTTAGAGGCGTTAAAGCTATATATACTAGCTAGATAATTAATAGCAGTATTATTATTGTATGCGTTGTTAAGCACAAAGTAGCCTACTAACGCTTTATTTACTCTAAAGTTTGTTAGCGTTCTTACAACAATAGCGCTAATATTATTACTACTATACTGCCTATAGAGCTCTAGTAAGCCTAGAATAAAGTCCTGTATATTGCCCGCTGCGTCTATTAAGTGTACGCAGATGCTAGTGTGTCTATACTTGCTGCTAGTTAACGTCTAGTTATTAAAGAAGACATAGATAAGAGACTGCGCGCCGCTTAGGTAGCTTTAAATAGCAGGTATGTACAAGTAATACTTAGAGATAATCGCGTCGCGGAGAGACTAGTAGTTACGCTAAAGTACTGCCTCTGCTAACAGGTTAGCAGCTTAAATTAACTAGCAAAAAGTAGGCGTTTTAATAACGCAGAGGCTTTAGTTATTAGCAGCTATCTAGTTCTTTAGCGCGTCTTAGAACTTGCGCTTTATAAATAATAATAATATCTTATTTGTAACCTCTTGTAATACCTTAACACTACTATTGCGCATAAGGCTAACAATTAAGCTCTAGTTAGGATCGCGGCTTCGTTAGAGGGGTCCTTAGGCACTAACGCTGTAGCTAGGCACACCTTTAGCTAGGTGAGTAGCTGCCGCTAACGTTAATCTAGCGTTGTACTCGCCTCTAAGTTTCTTGTGTATATAGCAATAGAAACAGAGCTAGTAGTTACAATGTTTAATACAATAATATACTAGCTAGCCGTACTTGTATATCCAACTTAGGGCACCTCTAGCGTGCTCTTTCTATCGCCTCTCTAGGTACAGGACCTGTAACTAGTCTAAGCTGTTAAAAGAAGTATTATTAGCCTTATCTATAGCCTCGCTAATTAGCGCGTTAGTTAATTTGTTAATGCGATTAAGCTTAGTGTTATTGTTAATAGATAGCGTAACTAACGCGTTCGCAGGTAGATCTCTGTGTTTATCGCGCTTAACAAGTCAGCGGAGGCTCTAATTTAATTGCTAGGTTATATTAGTACTAAGAGAAACTAGTATAACCTGTAAGTAGGCGCGTCGATAGATAGTAGCGTTAGTGTAGAGTTAGAATTTAAAGCGTTGCGCGATTAAGCTGCAATACTAGGGTTTAGCGCTAGCTACTTACAGAAACTATATCAACAGCCTTACTAACAGCCTTATTAACAGCCTAGAATAAGCCTCCGCAACACTATATATTAATCTTATATTAGTTAATTTAGTTAGTTTAAGAGCTCTAAACTGAACTAACTAATAAGACGAGAGCTCTAAACTGACACTGAACTGACTGCCAAGCAATTAGTCAGTCAGTCAGTCTCATCAGTTTGGATTGATTGTTAGCAACTCTGGCATGATTGAATGCCCACTTCTGGTCACTGGCGAGTACAATGATGAACGACCCAGCATGCTTCGAGACCTTCACAGGTAATGCCTTCGATAGTTTCTTTAAGGCAGGCCACATCGTGATATTGAAGAAACACCCAACCGTCGAGTTGTGCCGGCACGTGGCGCAGCAGGTCGTTGCCGTCAAATAAGCATGTTATCATTACCAAGTGACAGCTTTTCCATGCTCTGCCCCCGAAAATGCGTACATGCAACCCGGGTCAGATAGAGAGTCTCTCCTGTTGTAGTCTACACGTTTCATTGCCAACACTCCGATCTTGGTACAGGACGACGGTGCACCTAATACTAACACTTCGTTGTCTGAGTACTCAAAGTCCTCTCAGATTACAATGACAAGAGGTCGTTATTCAGCTGCGTGTTGTTCTCCTTGACAGGTGTGGACGTCCCCGAAGCGACTGCCGGATCTCTCTCATATGTAACGAATCATAGCGAAGCATTTTGTGTCACCAGTACATAGTAGCCTAGCGCGATTCCTCATTTTCGGCCCCCAAAGCTGACTCGAGCTCGGACTCAACATAATAAACAGTTTGTATGTAAGATGACGTCACGCTTCTGCCTAGTGTTCACAGGAGATGTCTTCGACATGAGCTTGACTCTGCAAGCAAAGGACATAATATCATTGCCGCCACTACGTGCCTGAGACTCACGCAAAATGACCGCCACTCGCGCTATACGTCGTCAGACTGTGCCCGGACAAGAGCTGACCACATTACCGTTCGCCTTCCTTTGACATCTCGCTGGCCTTGCTGACACCGGTAGCAATCATAGCGCAACCGCGAGGCTTTTAGACTCTGAGCCCATGGCGATGATACCTCCGTCTGTCTCGACCCGACGCCAAAACTCAAAGTTCCGCGACTTCCTAAGACATGTTCGACTGCTACTCCCGGCGTCTTTCCTTGGCCACACCTTGCCCTGGAAGACAACGTTCGAGCAACGCAAAGTTGCCGTATACCAGAGCCGACGCATGGCAAGCTTGAATATTCTGCTTCATGTCATTCCACTTGCTGTCGCTGGGACCCTTCTGGGCCTTCACTGGTCGAGATACTGGGTAGGAGTCTCGGACGACGCGCCGTCACTGCAATTCGCAGCCAAAGTCCACGAATTGCTCATGCAAGCATCACTCGTCGACGTTCTCCTCTATGTCATACGAAGCCAAGCACTTAACGGGTATCTGCCATTAGGTGCACTTGCAGGGGCTGCACAGGCACCCCAACTATCCTATCTTTGGTCGCTGGATTTCTTCTCCGCTCTTGTAGCGCCAAGCAGGGTTTTCAGATCACGGAACAAATTTATTTTCATATTATCGACATTTACGCTACTATTTATGACTGGAGTCGTGGGTCCCTCATCTGCAATTCTGATGATTTCACGGCCTGGTATGACGCATGTGCAAAACACCACAATCCGATATCTAGGCGTCTCGGAGGCTGATTTGTTTCCTACTCAAATAGATAAGACAAATCGATTGAACCTGTAAGTAAGTAATATTCTGCCCTTGGAGAGATACCTAACGGTCATCTCTTACAGTTCACTAGACGCCGGTTTTCATGACACGACTAGACTGGACTACAAACTTGACCGTAATGGTCCAGTACGATCAAAAAACTTCTGGCCAACTGACTTTCCAAGTAGTGTCGATAGACTCCTTCTATCAGAATCTCCTTTCTATGACTCGGATGGTATTAGTGGTAAATTGACCACTGGTGATGAATGGACCATTGGTACACTTCCGACGATGATGAGCACACTACAGCTATGGCATTACAGCTCAATTGGACAGCAAACTGCTGACCAAATGATTGATACGCGCGAGACCTTCCTGGCTACCGGAGCGCAGTGGACACTACAAACTTCGCAGCCTGTAGTGATGTCCGCCTGCTCTGATTTCTACAATACTGACAACATCTCTTACCCTCACGTCGACGGGTCAACAAGCATCCTCCAGAATGCAGCTGAATTGTACGATACGATGTTAAAGATGAACGCAAACCGTACATACTTTATGTCGTGGATCCAAATGCCTCAGGATCCTACTTCCTTGCTTGCCTTATTCATGTACATCGACGACCTAAACGATGTCTATAGTGGCAACGATGGCAGTCATTCGGGACCAATAACTCGTTTTACCATTTGTACAGTATCTTTGTTCTGGCGGGATACATCGACTACTTTGTCTCTTACCAGCACGGATTACTTAATACAAACGGAATGGCCTGGGAGTTGAGAAGACATCGTCCAGGATAAGTCGAGACCGATTACCATCGATCCCGAAGCCATTCCCAAGCTACATATCTCACCTAATCAGTCACTTGCAAGTAACTCGCTTGATTTGCCAGTAACTATCATGGCGGGATTCGCGTTTGCGCTGTCTTGGGTTCCTGGCCAGTATATATATTCAGTCGACAGGTATATTTCTCAAGACACGATTGAGGGAATGAACTCCTCTAGCATAAAAGACTCGACGTCCTTTACGCCATTCCGAATCGTGAAAACAATCACGGGTTACGGCTATGGTAGTACAGATACTTCCACCTTACTTTCGCTAGCAGTCATTATCACTTACTGCTTTATCACGGTCGCATATATCACTTATACCATCTTCACGGGCCACACGTCTGTAGCCTGGAATTCAGCGACCGAGCTTATCCTGCTGGCTCTTCAATCTAAAGAGCCAGACGATCTGGGCCACGTATCTGTTGGTGTCGACTCCACGGAGACGCTTCGCAGGAGCGTAGGAATCAGGGTAAACACTGTGAGCATTCCAGACACAGGGGAGCGTATGCAGAAACTGGAATTAGTCTTCGAGCATGATGTCCAAGATAAGAAGAGGATTTTGGAGAAAGTTGAACGGAATCAGGCGTACTAGGGCATTGAGATTGATTCTGAACAAACTGGATTAACGTAGTTCACTAGTGCGTAGCGGCGATTAGAAACAGCGATATACCCTGCTTTCGGCAGAATCAAGATCCCCATGCTGATAGGCAGCACAGCACTGGACGCGTTCAAGGATATGAAAACAGTTGTGGGGAATAGTGCTTTATCGCGTCTCGCTTATTAGGCTGCAGCTTTCATCTACTTAAGTATTGCGCGTTCATCCATACAATGATTCTACATCATCACTTGCACAACATCCACACATACAACAACATCCCATTGCCAATAATCAGAGATGGCTAGCACTTCCCTGCCCCACCTTCCAGCCGAGCTGTGGGCCCAAGTCCTCCAAAATGTCGACGATCCATTTTCTCTGTGGGTAACCTGCCGTCAGGTATCGCGTACCTGGAGAACAGAAGGTGAACACGCCTTTCGCGCGATCTTCCTCCCAATCCTTCATATCAAGTGGACTAGAGTTGCATTTGGCCGAATAGCACACACGATCATTGCTATTCCAGACGAGCACTCCATTAAATCACAATCAACAACGCTGTCCCTTGTGCTTCGATGGGGTGAACCAAGATCCGAGTTCATCCCGAACCACCTGGAGGATTTCACGCGTGACGAATTTGGGAGGGAACTCGCTTGGATCACTGACTATAACGACTATCGCTCATGGTTATACGGTTCGTCTCGTGAGATGAGTGAGCAGGCCATTTGGTTTGACACGGCAGATGGGCGGTATACATTTGTCGGTAGTGCTGAGACGAACGGATTTACTCCTCAGTTTCCTGCCGAAGAACACGATACGAGAGACAGGCGCCGAGTCACATACGACTGGAAAGTTTTGATGAATGCGCTCTTCGCGGAAGAAGTCTTTGTGCGGCGAAGACATCCGGGCCCGTCGTTCTATGAGCTTGGAGAGCAAGGCATGCATGACATTGTGGCTGGGGAGGATCAGTCAACGGACCTAAGGACGGTCCTGGCTGAGAGGTTTAAGCCGCTGTACGCCGTTGCTTTCCAAGAGAGGTTACGTCGTGCATTCAACAGGGAGGGTGTAGATCTCTACACCCATGACAGCTTTACTAGCATGTGTAATGCGAATCAGCAACTAGATTACCACATTGAGAAAACTGGATGCGGGTGGATGATGGAATGTAGGTTCGAAAGACTGCAAGCTTTCTTGAATGGTCTTTTGAAGCTAGAGAGGAAAAGATGGGACCGGGATATTACAGGACGACAAGCTTACATGAGGCTTGTGTAGGAAAGGCATTTAACCAATTTTCGAAATCAACAAATGCTCCAACATACGTTTGGTGTGAATGGATTTGACTCTCTATTCTATACTCTAAGAAACCAAAAAAGGTTCTCTGCAGAGTCAATATAACACAACGCTGATAGCATCGTGAAAGTGCTGAACCTAACTACGCCGTGATTGGGTGGGTTGCAGCTCATGGGAAGAGGACGTCTCAGTCGGAGCACTTGGTTCTGCCTTCTTCCAAACTGAACCACGCATACTTTCTGGTACCGTGATAGCGAAAACGCTGAGGAAGAGCCCAATGCCACTCAATATGACGCAGCTGTAGTACACACTTCTGTATCCAATGGTACTAAGCTCACCCTGAGGAAGATTTGCGTCTCCATACGTCTTCTCGATACCCTCTGCAACTGCAGTAAGCACAGCCAAACCAAGCACGCTACCGCCGACCTGCAGTGCGACGTTGAAGACGCCGGCGGCAGCACCCTGGTCCGATCTGGAAGCGGAAGAGACGACGACGAAGTTGGCAGTGATGTAGACAGCACCAATACCAGCGATGTACAAGATCATTCCTGGGAAGGTGTAGCGCCAGTACGAGGTATCTTCGGCGATGAAGCTGAAGAGGAGCACGCCGGGGATAGAAAGAGCCCAGCCGATGATAAACTGCTCATACAGTTAGTACATTCACTTCAAATTAGGGGGTAATACCATACCATAGTCCTTGCGCCGAGGATGGGGACGAGACGACCCGAAAGAGTGTTGAAGATGAGAGCGCTCACGCCGAGTGGGATGAAGAGCACTGAGGTGTGAATGGCACTCGCGCCGTAGGACTGGAGCTGGACAGTAAGGAAGTATGTGCATGCTTGTCGCACGGCATACGTGTTGACAGCAAGAACCAGTGTGAGGTTGAAGGACAGGTTGCGGAAGAGATGGGGAGCCAGGATTGCCTGGGAAGCTGAACGTTCGTGCAGAACGAAGACAACGAGCAATACAACCGACACCGCCAGCGTGGCGATGATCTTAGCGTCATCCCAACCTTCGGTGTTGGCGGAAGTAAGCGCGTATGTGAGGAGGAGAATACCGGGAATGCCAAGAGTAATACCAAAAGCGTCAAATCGGATCAGGCGCTCCTTGACCGATTGGAAAAGCTTCTTCTTTGGCACCTGAGCGCTCTCATCCGTACCTGCTCCATCTGCAGGAGGTGGAGTGATAGTACGAGGAGAGGGGACGCGTGGAAGAACAGCATATGCCGCTGGAATGACGATTCCTGAGATGATCAAAGAGATCCAGAAAATCCAACGCCATCCCAAGAACGCTGTGAGGACACCACCAAGGATGAGTCCGATGATGAAGCCCAAAGAACCTGCGGCGCCCCAGATCCCAAGCGCTTTCGCCTTCTGCGTTGGATCGGTGAAGTGCAGAGCGATGTGCGCCTGCGCTGGAGGGATGGTGAAAGCAGCGCCTATACCCTGGAATGCTCTAGCAACCACCAGTCCTATGAAGGTAGGAGAAAGGGCGCAGACCAGACTGAATAAAGCGAAGAAGATCATGCCAAAGAGCAGAACACGGCGATGACTAGACTGACGTTAGTCATGCCGACGACGTAGGATCATGGAAACCAACCCAAAGATGTCTCCTCCGCGACCACCTAGCAGTAGGAAGCCACCAAACGTGAGAGCATAGGCAGATATGATCCATTGGAGGTCTCCAACATTTATTCCAAAGTCTGTTTGTATGGTAGGAAGCGCAATCGTGATGGCACTCAAGTTTGCCAGATCGAGAAACATCGCAGAGCAGCTGGAACTTTGTGTTAGTCAGGTTCAAAGCGAATGCGATCGTTACTAACACAACAGCCAGGATGAGGTAGGGACTGCTCCCTGCCATGCGATCAGGGAGAGCCTGAACTTGTCGGAAAACCATCATGCGTGGTCTTGAGCTGCAGACTATGGCAAAGGGTGGAAGACAGACAGCTCAAGAACACCAGAAGATATTTACGATATCGTTAGATGGATCGAGCGAAGCGGCGACGGTTTATCCCAGGGTGGTAACGTCGACTCATACGGGCTAGCCCTGATATGGCATAGCGCAGGGAGTCAAAAACACAGGGTTAAACGAAGGCAGCTTGCCACGGGCCGTTCGCCTCGATCCCCATGCCTGGCTATGCACCGAAACACCATGGCCCAGACGGGAGCGCCCTCGTACCGCCTCTGCTCCCCAACGAACACCGCGTTCTAAATGAATGTTGATTGAAAGCGGGACTGCCAAGTTGTGCGGCCGGCGCCACTTCCGGTTGGCTTATGCAGGCTTCCACCACATAGGACAAGCTCGTCCATGCTTCAAGTGAGGTGTTTCCCGAGCGCACAAACGGCCCATTATTACGTACATCTATACCCATGAGGCTAGGAACCCGCTAAACGAAGTTAAGCTGCGGGAATAAAGCTTAAGTGGTTCAAGAGCTTGGACGGCACGCCTGATTGTCGAAAGGCCGTAAGGGCGTAAATGATGTTCAGAAAGCGCCCTTTTCTACATACAGCCTTTCTACCGGAGGCGAGAACATGATGTCTATTAGAGGCTGCGAGAATTCTCATCTTAGAAACCAATCTACAACTCGTGCGCTGCAGGACAACAGGTTGTTCTGTACATACGTATGGTGAGAATTCCTGCTAGCAAAAGCTTGATTCTGCCAAGGTATGGGACGGCCCGTCTGATGGACCGGGACACAGGGGTGACAACCGACTTGCTTGGCGGCCCTTTGTCCTGTCCTTGATTTTGTCCATGAAAGTCGATCGCTGATGCCTGAAATGCTTCAAGAGCGAAACCACCACGAAAGACACGGCACAGGCCAAGCTAGAAGAAGGTAATATAAGCTCGCATTGCTTTCTTCGTCCTTTCACGTAGGTGCTCTGCTGACGCAAGCGTGTAGCAGATTTGAGGATCCGCACTGGAATGACCCATCGAGGTAAAACGGGTGCTTAGCTCGGCGGTGACGATCACCAGCGTCTCAACATGTGCCAAACCGCCGAGCTTGCTGTACGAACCCTGGCGGCAACTGCATGACATTGTAGCTCACGCTGCTGACGGGCCGAAATGTATAGCAGCTGCAAGTAAGACTCGCAGATTGCAGCATGGGGAGCCATATTTGCTGCACGCGCCACTGTTCCCTATTCTAATAGGTACCTTCAAGTTTTCATGTTCTATTCTGAGAAAGGAAAGTTGCAACATCGTCCTGACGTGCTTCATCTCAAGACAGGTAAGCAATTCTGTCCGGAGAACACTGCGAGTCACCGTATCTGACAGAGCCCAATTGCTCTCGCGAGCTCAAGGGACAGGGTACTTGCTTTCGTATGGTGCAACGTACAGCTTGCAAGGCGACTGTCATCTCCGACACCATCGTGGCGCTACAGCTCAGGCCTCCGGCCCACTAAGTCACCAAATCCACCGGCCGCTTGCCTCAAGTCTTGTGTCCTGTCGGCGCAATTTCATGCGTGTTGGCAGAGCTCAACAAACCCTCACAAAACCTGGTCTGGTGGGTTTTATTGTGCGTTGAATCAGTCAAAATCAAGAGGATTTTCAAGACGACATGAGGAGCTGACACGCCAACTCAAGCTACTCAAAGGCGTTCATTGGACATAGAGAGTCGCATCACGCTTACCCTCGGTAGTCTTTCTGGTGATCAAAAATCGAACTGTACTCGATCAGCGACATCTTGACCCAGTAAGAATAGGATCCAGCACCATTACGAGTCGTGAAACCCAAACCTCGGTCCATCGTTACTGCATTCCAGTGGAGTAGCGTTCTCATCCGAATCAATAATCCGCCGCAAATACGAGACACCTCTACGGCCACCAAGCACTCGCTAAACCCTTGATACAGGATTTTCTCCCATGTGAGGTTTTCCTGCACGTAAGCTACTTTCCGCCCACGCTTAGTGAGCGCCACAAGAGTAAGGGTTGCATACAACCATGAAGAAACCAAGATTTTTCCACCATGGATCATGCAAAGGGGGTAGGCGAAGGAATATTCGACTTACCGGTGATGCATCCGGAAAGGCAAGCTGAAAGGGCGTATATAAATGGTATGTCGCCAGCTTAAATATCCGTCAAGCAAGTCTTTTGCAAGAACATCTCCGCCATGTCTCTCGAGCCCATGCCCTTTTTGAGCGGCCCCGTTGCGAGCAACGCAGGGCCTCATGAGCATCGTGATCCACCCAGCGATATTGTTTCTGTGATACCGTTGTCGAAAGTGCAACAGGCACTTTGGCTAGATTACCTGGTCAGACCTCATTTGTCTCACTACCATCTGAGGCTTGAAATTGACGTATCTTACCTGAACCCGAGCCTGGAGAAAATCCTTCAGGGTGAGTATGTCTATGTTTGAACAGCGTGCGTTGCTGACAACAGAGTTGTAGTCATCCAGACATTAGGAAACAACCATCAAATGCTAAGAACAACATTCCATCTTGATGGCGATAACCAGGTAAACAGGCCATTCATGGCTGTTCACTCACAAGATACATCAGTCCAGCGGTTCGAGATCATCAACGACGAGGCAAGGCTCTCCTCCTCTCTTCGTCGCGGCTTCAACCTTTCGGCGGAATTCCCAGTGCGCTGGGTTATACACCATAGCGTTATGTTCGAAGCGGGGAACCTACAGACCAAGTGCAAACTATTCGCTATCGGTCACCACATCGCCGTGGATGGCTTCAGTCTGAGTATCTTATCTAAAGAGATACTGCAACGTCTGGACGTTCAGACGCAACACCCTGTTGCTGAGCAGTCAGGCCTTTCATACGGAGAATACGTGCAAAGACAGGTAAATCGTATCATCTGCTTGGTATCCAGCCCACTAACACAATCCAGGACGCATACTTACGCAGCGTAAGCGGACGAACAGCAAAAGAATTCTGGCTGTCGCAGGTCATGCACACCTCGCCTTTCTCATGGCGTGTCGCACCTCCGGTCAGGACCACCGCTGACTACCGGCGCATGCACACATGGGCATTTTTCCCCAACGAGCAGCTCCAGAAGTGGAGTGAACTGTACAAGACATCGTGGTTCCGTGTTGCATCTACTGTCGTCAGTTTAGTTACAGATGGGAATGCAGAACCCGCCCCGCATCACGATCGGGCGCTGTTCGTGGCGTTCGGCGCTCGCCCCAAAGAATTCCAGAATTGCGTCTCGCATATGGCGAATACGGTATGTACTGAAGAGACAATAATGAATGCGTAAGCTGACCCAGACAGATGCCAGTCAAAGTCCCGCTTGCACGCTTACTGCAGGACAACGCCACATTCTTGGAAGCTGTCAAGGCGTTTGGAAAGAACCTCTCCACAGCGAAGAAACACGAGATGTACCCGTTCCTCAGCTTGATCGAGGAAGCGCGAAAAAAGATGGACGAGCGGCAACTCAACTTCAAGGTAGCCGTGACGTTCTCGCCCAAGCTGGCTAGCAAGGCGTGTTCGATATACCCCGTGGAAGGCGTTTGGGACCTGTTCTTCTGCTTCCTCGAGCATGATGATGGGGTTTCACTTGGCGTAAGTTCTTCTCGAGGCGTTCTCCAACAGTGGCTGATGTCTCAAGGTCATTGCGAATCCCGATGTTTTTGGTGATGAAGCCATGGCGAAACTACAAGCGGAGTTCATCACCACAGCGAAGTTATCGCAACAAGACAACTCGTTCAGACTTCGCGACCTCCCGTTCTTTCGGGACCGTGGAGTCGCCAGCATCACCAACGGCCCGGCAGTGGAGGATGTCGAGACTATAAGCAGTTCGCGAGTACATCTTTGGATCAAGCAGCGTGCCGCTGAGCAACCCAACACCATCGCGTTGTCTTCGGCCGAGCGTAACGAGACAATGACATACCGCGAGCTAGCGGAGCGTAGCAGTCAGGTCGCACATTACCTCGTGGCGAATGGTGTATCTTCAGGTGAAGGCGTGCTGCTGCACATTGCTCGAGGGTTCAACACAGTCGTATGGCTACTTGGAATCCTCGAAGCGGGTGCTTACTATGTCATGTTGGACAGGAAGTTACCCGACAAACGGAAAGCCGCCATTGCCGCCACCTCCGAAGCGAGATTCCTGGTGACTGACGACTTCAAAATCCAGCAGGTTTTGTCTGACCTGGCCATCACGGTGGTGAGCCTCGATGTTGTCGATCGAGAAATACAGACGCAGCCGATGACGACCCTAGATAGTACCACGAAAGACAATGATCTTGCTTACAGTAAGCCCCGTCTTCCGCAAGCTCACACGGCTATACTAATTATTCGTAGTCGTCTTCACGTCCGGCTCAACCGGGCAACCAAAGGGCGTTATGGTCGAGCAGTCAAACCTGAGCCACTACGTGAGTGCCACCAGCAGTGTCGTGAAGATTGGCCCGGGCAGCCGAGTGCTCCAGTTCGCGACATTCGCGTTCGACGCATCTGTTTTGGAGTGGGCAGTTACGCTATCGTATGGCGCAACTCTGTGCTTTGTCGATCATCCGGAGCTGCTTGTAGGAGACTATCTCGCGACTGTCATCGACAAAAACGAGGTCAATTTCTTCCACACTACACCCTCAGTGCTTGCCACAATTCCGACGGACAGGTACTTGGCTTCGCTGAGAATGATATCCGTTGGGGGTGAGCCGTCCTCTGCGGGACTGCTTGGAAAGTGGAGGCAGCGAAGCCAGCTCCTGCACGCTTTTGGCCCAACGGAAACAACGTATGTTGTGGCCTTTTACATTGCTTAGGAGGACAAGCTAACAAACGTAGTGTTATCGTGACAGTTGAAGTCATTGGCGAAGACCAGCGCAGCGACGCTCCGCTCCCCTCGCCATCCAAGATTGGAAAGCCGTTCCCCAACTCGCGAATCCTCATCTGCGCCGATGATAACAACGACGAACTTCCAACTGGCGAGCACGGAGAAATCTGCATCGCTGGCCCTCAAGTTTCTCGTGGCTACATAGGCCAAACCGAGCTTACGCAGAAACACTTCCACACCATCCAGCTGGACGGTCACGATACGCGAATGTACCGGACAGGCGATAGGGGATTTCTGGATGCAGATGGCAAATTATGTATCGGCGGACGCATGAAGAACCGCGAGATCAAATTACGAGGCTACCGCATGGACTTGTACGAGATTGAGAAGAGTATTTTGAACAATAGTCCCGAGGTGCAAGTCGCCTCCGTGCAGGTGCATGCAGATTCGTTGGTAGCATTTGTTGTACCAGAAACGGCCCCATGCGATGTCATTCGTGGAAGATTGGCGTTGGAGGTGCCGTCTTACTCTCTCCCTGCTCGATTCTTTGCAGTGCGATCTCTGCCATTGAATAGTAATGGGAAGATAGACCATGCGCAGGTTTCTGAACAATTAGAAAGTCTACTTGCGTCATCTCCAAAGACAAGTCCTGCACAAAAAAAGATATCAAGCACGAACTCGAAGTCAATCGAGTCAGGCGCATCTTCAAGCCGTAGAAAGAGCGTGTCAAAAGTTCTTAGGGATCTTTGGACGCAGACTCTTCGTCTGACAAGTCCACCCAGCTCCGATATATCCTTTTTCGAAGCTGGCGGACACAGTATCACCTTGATCGAGCTTCACAAGCGTATCATAAGCCGTTTTCCTGGCTGTGAGATAAGCTTACTGGACATCTTCCAAGCACCCACCATCGAAAAACAAGCTGCGTGTCTCGCTGGGAAGATGGAAGTATCCGAACATAGACCTCCTTTCTCCGAGAGTTATTATGGTTCTAGTTCTGATAGTGAAAGCGATTCAGAGGCTCCTACAGCTGCTACATCTCTCAGCAACTCTCTGGACCTTGACGACAACAAGTTCGCCATTGTAGGTCTGGCTGGATACTTCCCCGGTGCTGTTGATGTGGATAGCTTCTGGCAGATGATCATCAACGGTAAAACAGCTGTCAAAAGTCATGATGAAGTTGTCGCGCCCTCTGATATGGCGGAGGATGAGATCTTTGTCCCTCGATACGGTTCTATGCCCGATCTTCCACCAGTCACAGCTGGAGCATGGAACATGACTCCGGAGGAGGCGGGCCTTACGGATCCGCAGGTATGGTGCTAATTTCATTCGGAAAACCCTTGCTAAGAGAAAAACTATAGAAACTGCTCTTCCTCTCCATTGCGTCCGAAGCGCTCGCAGACGCCAGAATCCCCATCACCAAGGGCGTACCCAATCCGACCGGCGTCTTCATCGGTTCAGCACACAACACACATAAAGATGCGCCTAACACGCCCTTGCCCGCCGACAGCTTTCAAGCGCGTCACCGCACGCTGCTTGACCCGCCAATCTCTACTTTCACAGCCTACAAGCTCAATCTGACGGGTCCTAATGCGACGCTCAACACAGCTTGCTCAAGTGCTTTGGTCGCGCTACAGCACGCTCTTTCTGCTCTACGCGCCGGCGAGTGTCCCGCTGCCCTTGTCGGTGGAGTAACCGTCGCCTTTCCACAGTTGGGTGGGTACGTGACAGCGCCAGGCCAAGTGTTCAGTCCGACGGGTCATTGCCGCCCGCTCGACGCCGCTGCCGATGGATCAGTGCCAGCTGATGCGGTAGCTGCCGTAGTTGTGAAGACGCTGAGCGCAGCGCGCCGTGACAACGACGCCGTCTATGCGGTGATTGAGGGTTGCGCGACGGGGTCTGACGGCTCGGTCGACAAGGTTGGCTTCACCGTGCCATCGAGCACAGGCCAGGCGCGAACAGTAGCTAAGGCCATTAGGAGCGCAGGCGTAGCCCCCGAGGCGTTCAGGTACGTTGAGTTGCATGGAAGTGGGACGAGCATGGGAGACGCGTTGGAGGTGAGCGGATTGGAGCAAGCGCTTGACCAAGTGCAACAACCTGGTGAGGTTAATGGGTGCGTCGTCCATGTGGGCAGCAACAAGGGTGCTTTTGGCAACACAGAGGCGGCAAGTGGTATGTTGAGTTTGATCAAGATGGCGCTGGCTATCTCGAATGGCTTCATCCCGCCGATGCCCAAGTTGAATGCGCTGAATCCGATGTGCAATTTCGAGGGCAGGTTGCGTCCACTAGTTGGTCAGCTCAAGTTGGCGCAGGATGACAGGGTGGGTGTAACGAGCCTGGGATACGGGGGGACAAACGCACATACAGTGCTTTGCGCTGCGGAGGCACATGGTGTTCAGAAGCGGTTGAGGAGCGCTTGAAGTTGCTTGCTTATTTGTGAGGAATGAAATATAATGCTCCAGCAGCTGCTCAAATGTATCTTGTAAGTACAGCGATAAATATGTAGCGAGTACAAGACAAGCAGACACCAGTCATCTTTCGAAGGTACATGCTTGGGATGTGATTAGTTATCGATAATGGTGCGTAAAACGAATTTAGGGCCAAATGAGTGTATTCAAGACATAGGACCTCGGGAGTTCTCGGCGAGAAGTCGATTGACATCGACCCCCTTGCTGTCTCAAGAGCAACTATGTCCCGATACTATGGTAAGTATAGTCAATCCTCTAGGCCTCTAGCTACGTCAGTCATAGGGATATATTTAGCACGTGATTGGAATAATTAAGACTACAGTGTGCCTGTAATTGTACAGTCATCAGATCACATGCTTGGAGTCCTCATCAATTGGCAACTCCTTTGGTCATTGTCCAGGTGTATGCGCATCCCTACTCGATTCACCCACTTTACCCCTGGCAGAATTTTTGATCCTTTGTCTTACAGACACCGTAGTATGTCACAACGTTAGTACCCCTAGACGTAGCCTTTTCGTTATATTTCGATTGCAGGACCCCAATCGTAGAGCAAAAGTAGCCCTTTCCTTTACAATCACCGGCTGGATCGTTCGAAGCAGCTATGCATGATGGGAGACAAGCAGAGACAATCTTCGTTCGGCCGGAGCATGTCACCTCCATGTCACGACACTGGCAACTGCTGTTGCAGAGCGTGATCTCACCAGCAGATCTTCTGTTGCTAGGACCGTCGAGAAGTTCAAAGGTTGCGTTGTCAGCAAATGGCGACGGCGAGAAATCGTAAACTGCGGGTGCGGCTGGCGTAGCTGATGGAGGCAGTTTGGCAGACGTCTCGTTACGGGCCGTTGGATATCCTGTTGAATCTTGAACACAAAGAGTCGGGTCGTCCCACGCTGCACGAGCGGTGTAGCTCCAAAGTTGCGTCATGTTGTAGACCGTCTCAAGCGTGTAATAGATACGACAATCGGCAGCCTGATATTGGAACTGCAGCGGCGTTAATTCTGTGCCGCGCACTTGATTCCGGATTGTGAAACCGGCGTAATTGATCCACATCCCTGTATCCGTTCGGTTAGGCAGTTGCGAAATTACCTCAGGCTTGTCAACGGGTAGATACTGCAGTCCTGAGTCGAAATCGTAGTCGAGATCGTCAGAAGAGTACGAGGCGGCGCCACGAGTGCCGCCGACTGCTTGCATAGGACCGGGCTTAGGCTGACCACCAACGACAATGGTTTTGACTCCGGCATGATAGGTCATGAACTCGACAAAGACAGCACATGCTGAGGCGCAGAGGCCGTCAGTAAGGATGACAATGTCTTGAGGAGCCCAAGGTGGTGAAGTGTTGGTGATGGGAGCGTCGGGGTCGTATCCAAATGGATAGTCTCCGAATGCGGCATAGTTGAAATCCGCATCGGACAAATTGTATTGTTGGCTGCCTGAGAAGTTATCACCATTGCTGGTTTCTGGGCCGTAGAACTCGCTCCAAGACGCAAAGTCTTTTCCAGTAGCGGCGTTGATCCGATTAGTAACGATCCACTCGTTCGACGCCCAGTAGTAGTTCTCAGGTTGATTGTGACCTGACTGATCCCACCACTCTGTATAAGCTTCACCGAGGATATTGCTCAGTTCTTGACTGCGTTGACGACTTGCACCGTTAGGTTCGAGATTCGGAAAAAACTGCCTGAAGGTATCGTAGGCAAGGAAAACAGTGCCTCCGTAATTTTGTTGCAAATCAATGATGACACGGGAAGCATGGTTTTGTGACGCATTACCGATGAAGTCGTGGATCGCTTCCCGAAAATCGGATGAATCGTCAGCGTCTTGAAAGAAGGAGGGTATGCTAAGGACTGCGGTGGATTTGTAATCTAGCATATAGCTAGATACGATGGGCTTGGATGGTCATGGGGTTATTCGGGTATGCACCAAAACTGTCCATGCACCAGTTTTGGGTTGATGTAGCTCCATCTGTGCAATAGCTTTCCAGTATCGCTGTAAAGTTGAAACCATCGTCGCTGTCGTTGGTTGGAGGGACAACCTCGTCTTCCATGGTTGGCCACCACTGCTCGCCTTCACGGTAGCTGTCTGGCAAGAATCCTAGGACAAAGTAATTATAGAAATCGCCGCCAGTGGTAATAGGTCCTGTCTCCCTGCAACCGACGCAGAGTGCCCACCAGACGGATTCGACAACGGTACCGTTTTTGAGGGTGAAATTGAGCGCATCGGATAAGGCTTCGTTCCCAGGGTAAAGCTTCGCTGATTGGAATGTACTCGAGAACCCCTGAATATCCATTGCAGGGCTGTCCATAATTCCGTTCCAGTCGGCATTTGGTTCTAAGAAGCCTTGAGAGTTCTGTTCGGCAAAGCTTTCCAGATATTCGATCACGTCAATGCCGTTGATATGGGTCACAGGTGACGCTTTGTACTCCTCTAATGCCCAAGCTTCGTACAAGTCCTCGTCAAGATAAACTTCCGGGGCTTGTTTGCCATCAACGGACGCACTGACAAGCCCAAATGAGCCAACAAAAGAGAACGCCGAGAGAGCACCCGCATTTAGAATGACATGTGTGTCACGTAGTTGATGGACCAGGAGCTGAAGTTGTGCTTCAAACTCGTATTGATTCTTGTAAACAGCCCCGGTCACGTTCTGCTTGATCTCTTCTAGGGCTTGGTTGACGTCGAATGGTGGTTGTTGGTAGCCCACAGGTGGCGCTTTGAGATATCCCAGTGTAGATTGAAATTGCAACGTCATGTTGTAATAGTCGAGAAAGCGTATTGCGACAGCTGGGTTGAAGGGGATACTCTGCAAGCACTCGTACACCAGTGATGCACGGAATAGCGTATAATCTTCTCCACTTATCAGTCAAGGCATTTCCTCAAGTCTTGTAATATGATATTCACCATTGTTTACAGCGACAATGATGTCTCCACAAGCGGTAGAGACAGCGTCTGGAGAACCTGTAGGAGGCTCAACTTGCCGAGGGGCAAAGGCACCCTTCAAAGGTTTCGCCGACCCATATACCGATAGGTACAATATACCCAGAAGCTTAATGAACGACATGGCGAGCGACTAGAAAGTATCAACCGAAAAGGGTTATGTTGCTCGTAAACGGAGTGGATTTTCTAAACTCTTAAACCTGATGTATTGCATCTCGTGTGACACTCCACAAAGCTTACCGATGGCGATTTAAATCAGTGGCTTGCATCTGTTTAGCCCCCACGATTACTGCGGAAATCAAAAATCTGCATGAACGGTAGGCTGCCAACATTTAGTAGCGAATTGAGGAACACTTGCTCCTGCCAAGTCAAGAACCCACCAATTGCCACATGCGCAGGGAAAAGAGAGCTGCAGGGGTAAAGAAGATCGTGAGATGCTCTAGGCCTGTACTGAGATTGCGCTAGAAGGTTATTATTGATGTGTGGGTGCTTGCATGAAGCACAAGGCCTGGCGCAGTCATCTTGCCTGTCAGCCGCACTTGGCCCCCACAGGACCTTTTGGCCCCCACCACCTCGGGAAATCGACCAGGTAGGTCGCCCAGAAGCACAGCTTCCTGATTAGATGTATTTAAGGCCGTTGTGAAGCTGGCCAGGAGCTGCATAGCCCCATGACTAGCTGATTATTCCAACCGTAGATGGAAGCTGGGTAACAGGAACCCGTCATGGGGTCCAATACATGAACACTGCCCAAATTAGCACCTGTAAAACCGACAGTGTACACAGCTGAGGGGTGCATCTCGTGGGACGGAGTATTTGTCCAGTCACAGATGGAAACGTTCAAGATCTGAGAAGATAAAAAAAGGCAAAAGAGGGCAGAAGGGAAGAGGGATCGAATTCAGGACCAGGCAGATCTTTTCGATATGATGTCGGATCAAAAAGGAAAATGCTGTATATAGCTGGCCTTTGTAGCATTGCATTGGCTAAGCTGCCCGGTGGCACACAAGCTGTTGAGAGATGTCTATTTGACGATTACGAGCCGGGTCAATTGACCGGCTGCCTGACATAAGCCACATGCACGGACGTTAAGGGAACGGGGCCGACCCACTGAAACACCTTGTCCGTCTGACTCTCAAAAGCAATGTCTGCAACTTTCAAAGAACAGTAATGAATGGGTGACAGGTTCTTTTGGGAAGCTTCCGCGGTTTTGTGGCGCCTGTAAACATGTCGGACGCCGCAGCTGGAGTCGTTCCAGATCTTTTCGCTCCACAAAGTCACGTACTACACTCAGCCTTAAGCCGAAACACACTACATGGTAGCGACTACGATCGCACTTTGTTTGACAAGTTCTTCGCATCCCCAGCCTTCCGCGCATGGTCTTCAGGCAGTAGATCCTGGCAATTACATTGCTATGGAGAGCCTGGATGTGGCAAAGTGAGTTCCTGGGGACATGACAGAGGATATCGCTCACCATAACAGACCACTATGGCCGCTCTCGCCGCCGATCATCTACCATCTAGCATAAACGGAGCCAGCACAGCCGTCGCATCGATTTCCATCACTCAACATGTGTGGTCGACATCATTGAATTTCGTTGAGGACCTGTTCCAGCTCATATACACTGAGTTTGGCGCTGGGCCCAGTGCAGAGTATGAAGCATATCAGGCTGCGTGTTACTCTGGTGATCCGGCAATTGAGCGGATTCAAAAGCTGATTGGAGCTTTGAGTGACGTCGCCTCTGGGGCTTGCAAGTTTCTCATTCTTGATGGATACGATCGCATCAACGAAGCATTACAGGCGTCTGTTGATACACAATTCTCTGCTTTAGAATCCAGCGGATTCAAGGTAATGATGACTCGGCGAGTTCCAGTCTTCTCTGCATCTCCCCATCGACAATGCGACGGATGCGGGCAGGACCCCCTTGATGTTTGGTTATCATGTACGACCTGCAACATGTTTGATCTATGTTATGGCTGTGAGAAGAGGGAACACCTAGGCAAAAGCCACATCTGCCCGATGGACGGTCTCAGGGAAACCTACCAGCATGTCAGCATCAAGTTAGGTTATTTCAACATCGAGCGCCTGCTCGGAAAGAAACTGAGCATGCACTATACCAATATTCAACCGGAGGATGCGAATCGAATTGTTGCCTATATCGAGTCGAAGGCCGCTGGCAACATAACACTCGCATTATTGTATTTGGAAGATATCTTTACTCAGGACGATATCTCCACTTTCAGCGTGGATCGAGTAGACGACAGGCTACCCAGGGATATCATCGCTTATTTCGACACCGAAATGAAGTTCATCGAACGTAAACCGAAGCCTCAGCGCTTGCCACCATTACTTGCGATCGCTGCTGCTTTAGATCATCAGGATGGAATTCCATTCGAAGAACTAGAACACTGTATACGCCTCGCGCAGAACACTTGTTCGAATCTAGACTACCCCAGATCTGTTGAAGATGTCTTTAGTGCAGGAAACGGATGGCTGATTAACCCGCTCACTGATGATCAACGGGTGGATATTTGTTGCAAACCCACGTTTCCTCTGTACGTGAGAGAGAAGTACAACAATTCATTAGAATGGGCAAGACGCCAAGTCAATTCTAGCGCAAAGGGAAGACGTGGTGCTGTTACACCACAGCAGTTCGAAGAGACATCCTCACCGGTCGAAACACCTGATCTTTTAGGAAGCACATTCGATACGTTAGCAAGCGAAAGGCCTCCTCCAACTCCATTGATGAGCTTCGAAGATGGTCTCCGCATCCGTGAACTCGACGGTACATTCGATCGGGCGATATTCCTCAGTAAGGACGAAAAGCTGGTCCAATCGCCACCTAGACTCGACAGCACCGAGTATGTACCTAGAATGGCTCAGGGTATCGTTCCGGTCCACAAGCCTGAAAGAAAAGTCACGCAACCGGACACGGTATCAACTCAGCCCCAGATACGAGTGTGCGAGTTTTGTGTAAGGAATGTGTTAGAGTCCGGTGCATCCTCCGGTCAGCATCGTCTTTCAATGGATGATCTGAGTTCTGTCTTGAACCAATGCACGTTTTGCACCTCGCTCTACGGTAGTATGAGAGATCCTTTGCCCAACACTGGAAACTGGCCATTGTATCATTGGACCCTTCGAGCACTGCCACGCGGCAGAGAGTTAAGAGGATCGATGATGTTACGTTTTTGGTCTTCTCATCCGACAATCACAACCAAGTCTTTCCGATTCCTACCAGGAAATGATCTGGATGTGCCCGCGTCCGAGGATTTACCAGGAACAACAGATCTAGACCTTAGTGGCGGGACTCAAGTTAACAAATGGATGGAAACTTGCATGCGCGATCATCAAGGCTGCAGTAAAGCCTGGCACGCCCAGCGATCCCAACCTTTCTTTCTCCCAACACGACTTCTGGATGTTGACACTGGAGATGACAATGTTATCCGCTTGGTAGATACCCAGATAACCAAAGCCAAGGGACCTTACTGCACGTTGAGTCATGCGTGGGGACCACGAGAGAAGCCGTTCCTTACTACTACTGTGTGGAATATGGCAAAGCATTTGATCACAGGTATTTCCCTAGATGAGCTTCCACTTAACTTCCAGCACGCAATACGAGTGACTCGTTTCTTGAAGGTGCGGTATATCTGGATTGATAGTCTCGCTATCGTGCAGGAACCTTTTGGTGATTTTGCCAGAGAAGCCAATCTCATGCACAAGGTTTACCGATACTCGCATTGTAACATTGTCGCAGCGGACTCAGAGGATGCATACGGCGGTCTCTTCAGGGACCGTACACCTCATGAGATCCTTCCGGTCAACTATCACGGTACTAATGCATCTCATCATTTGGGGACGAAAACTTGGACGATTGTCCCAGCGGATCTTTGGGAGAAGGAACTTCTTAACTCCGTCATATATTACCGTGCGTGGGTGTTTCAAGGTAAGCAAAGCTCTTCGCTTCTTGATATGCTCGCCTTCGCCAGGCTATCGTGATTTACTAGGAGCTGACTCCGTGTAATCAACAGAACGTATTCTCTCTCCTCGCATCCTCCACTTCACAAAACATCAAATCTTTTGGGACTGCGGTACGCTCTCTGCCTGCGAGGTATTCCCAAACGGCCTTCCCTTCCCTCTCGATCACAAAGCAAGCACAGATCGACATTGGAGAGGACGGCTTGTCGGGAGTACTGTCTCATCAAACGCCTTGACTGGTGTCAATGACAACGAAAGCTCCTACACTTTCTGGATGTCTGCGGTACAAAACTACACGGAATGCAATCTAACTAGTCAGGGTGACAAGACTATCGCAATCTGGAGTATCGCGAAGTTGCTGCGCGACGTTATGAGAGAGCAATACGCCGTGGGCATGTGGTCTGAAGCGCTCGAGGAGCAAATGGCGTGGAGAGTACGAGAAACTCAAAAATGTGAGAACATGCCAGAGCTCGATGCCAGTATTCCTAGCTGGTCATGGGCAAGTGTAAGAGGCTCTATCGTGCCTCAACACCGGCTGGCCTTGCGATCATATACAGTCACGGATCATGACGGGGCTATGGTCAAATTCACAGTCGACGAGGAAACTAGGGAAGGCGATAAGGAGCCTACGTTAGAGAGGAAAGCGTTGGAACTGAGGACTCACATCAGCTTTGGTCGACTGATAAGTGTGGAAGAGGACGTATATCGTCTTCGAGTCTTGGGCGAAGCCTCCAGCGGCTCCATCGAAATGGACGCCTTTCCCGATGCTCCACTTTCAACTACAGCAATCGACCCGCAGCAATGCGCATTCATGATCCTTGCCGCATCAGTCACTTCGAACAACACTAGTGGTCTCCGATTAGGCCTACCTTCTCCTTCCGAAGCATGTCAGACGTACTCTGGTATAGGTCTTCTCCTCATCACGCACTCTGCCTGGTTCGCCAATCAGGAACAACTGCACCACGAATACAAAAGCGCGCTATCAGGCTTAAAGCCCTCTCGAGAACAAGAATGGCGCCTAGATGCTTTCTCAAAGCTCATGTCCCAGCAATCAGAGAGGATTATGAAGATGAAAGGGAATATTGCAAGCGTATATCGCCGGATTGGAGCGCTGCAGTTTCGCGATTTAGATGAGCAAGCTTTCAGATCCTTGACGAACGACCAAAACCTGGAGAATATTTGGTTAGAGTGAAAGTTTTATTTGTGTAAAGCTCATGTCCACATCTCTCAACACTAGGTATGGGTCAATATCAAAGAATGCCCATTCTGTCAAGACCAGATATCTCTCCATCTGAAAACTACTTCTCCAGACGAACCTCTCTTCCATCATCGCATCTGCAAATTTCCACTGTCAACACCCCTTGCTTGTTGCTACATGTATTCGTGATCAGCTATCGCCCCGAATGATATCCTCCTCCCATGCAACGCTCAACCAAACCTTATCCTCGTTACCAGGGTCCAGTGTTGCTGGGAAAAGGGCGCATATGCTATGACGGCTCCAGAATGATACCTATGTATCAAGGACGTTTGCGGTCTGCAACAGTATTCCTTAATCGTGGAACAGAGCCTAGGGAATTCGTGTATGGTGCTGAGGCTAGGATTTCGCAGAGATCGTGCGACCGTAGACTTACCAATTATATAGCGCGACAGCAACATTGTACAGGTTTGCATGACACTGGAACCGGTCGCGGCACCATGGGGTCGAAAACCGACACGACTGCGCCTCACTCGCCTTTGTTGGGCACAGCGACCTGCGGCTGACATGTAGGGCTGCTAACTTCGTTATGGTCAAGGATCAACAGGCATCCAGTTTCGAAATACGCATACATGCCTAGCTGGTTGTTGCCTAATGTTGGCTGCCTTGCTGCGAACAACAAAAGCACGCACTGGAAACGTATTCCATCGCCAATCTGATCTTTTAAACAGAAGTCTACATTTCCACAATCTCCAGCGGTACGCATCAAATCCAAGTTACGACCAGGCGATATGGCGCGCCGTTATCAGGCATTTAAAGATCGTTCCACCATGACCGAGCCCGGTACAGCATCCTGGGACGTGAGCATCAGCGAGGCCGACTTCGCGAAGCTCATAGCCGGTGTCGAATCTCAATGTATGGAGGATAAATGGAACGTCTGGAGCGAAGAGGGGAGCCATGGCGGGGAAATGCTCGTCCACTTTGCTCGAAGCTGGACAGGCCAGAAAGTGTATATACTTCATTTGGAGGCGAATGAGGGTGATGGCAATACCGGAGGAAAGATCAAAGGTATCACCTGGGCGCAGAAGCTAGGAGAATACCATATCTCGGAGGAGCAGGGCAAGAGGGACGCGACTATCATAAGCAGAGCCCTGCTCGGCTGCAAGGTCGAAGCGCTCCCAGAGTATGACACTGATGATCTCTACAAACCCGCTTCGACGGATGCATCCAAGGAGCGACAGCGACAGGAGCAAGGCAACGGTTCCGGAAACAAGCCCCCTGTTTGATGTCTGAATGTTGGGGATGTCGCTGGCGTGCATGGCGTGTGCGGCGTGTAGCGGATCACATTGCCAATTTCTACCGACTGGAGTTGGTTTAGACAAGGGTCTAATGTGGGTCAAGCGTTGGAGAGCTCGCTTGGACGAGCTTTTGCGGGGATAGCAACGGGTTAGGGCCGGTTGGTGATGGAGCTCTATCAGCTGTATCGAGGGTAGTAGATAAAAGGCTCTGGAATAGTATAAGATGTGATACCGCTCTTCCCAACTGTATCCTCTTACGTAGGCTGTTCTGACTGTTTGTTGTGGCAAAGCAGCTACTGTTACGCGTCGCGTCTCCCCGCATTCGAGCTTCGAGCTCCCCGCAGCATCATCACACTCTGCGCCATCTTTCCTCCTCTAATAACAACAACAACACCGGCAACGACCACGATGGCGTCGCTCATCCGCAATGCTGGACGTCTTCGAGCCCCAGTTCTTGGTGCAAATGCTCGTCTAGCCCTAAAGGCACCAATTGCATCACGGAGACGATATGCTTCGGCAGCAGCAGCGGCCGTTGCAGACAGCGGAGAGCATTCCTTCTTCCCAGATGAGCCCCGACAGCCAATTGTCAAGACGGCAATCCCCGGCCCAGAGAGCAAAAAGGCCATTGAGAGACTGAGCAAGGTCTTTGACACCAGGAGCTTGAACATGATGGCCGACTATTCCCAAAGCTATGGCAACTAGTATGTTTGGTATGCTACCAGAAGTGAACCGAGACTGACACGAATCAGCATCGCAGACCTCGACGGCAACGTCCTTCTCGATGTATACGCCCAAATCGCCTCCATCCCCGTGGGCTACAACAACCCCTCCCTCCTCCTGGCAGCCACATCCCCCGAGATGGCCTCTGCCATCATCAATCGCCCCGCGCTTGGAAACTTCCCCCAGCACGACTGGGCCGACATTCTCGAGAGCGGTATCCTCTCCGTAGCTCCCAAGGGCCTCAACCAAGTCTTCACCGCCCAAGCCGGCTCCGACGCAAACGAACTCGCCTACAAAGCCGCCTTCATGTGGAGGCGTCAACAACAACGCGGTGGCGCCTCGGCCGATTTCTCCCAAGAAGACATCGACTCGTCCATGAACAACAAAGCCCCAGGCGCCCCCGACATGTCTATTCTATCCTTCAAGACAGGCTTCCACGGTCGTCTATTCGGCAGTCTGTCAACCACACGCTCTAAACCCATTCACAAGCTCGACATCCCCGCCTTTGACTGGCCACAAGCCCCCTTCCCGGTCCTCAAGTACCCCCTCCATGAACACGAGGCAGAAAACGCAGCAGAAGAGCAGAGATGTCTGGACGCAACAGAACACATCATCACCACCTTCCACAACCCACCCGCCGCCGTAGTCATCGAACCCATCCAATCCGAAGGCGGCGACAACCACGCCACACCAAACTTCTTCCGCGGCCTCCGCGAAATCACCAAGAAACACGACGTCCTCCTCATCGTCGACGAAGTGCAAACCGGCGTCGGTGCAACGGGAAAGTTCTGGGCCCACGAACACTGGGGTCTGAGCACGCCACCGGACATGGTTACCTTTTCCAAGAAGGCGCAGACTGCTGGTTATTACTTTGGCAACAACGATCTCCGACCCAACAAGCCGTACCGTCAGTTCAACACTTGGATGGGTGATCCTGCGCGCGCGATCCTCTTCCGTTCCATCATTCAGGAAATCAAGCGCATGGATCTGGTCAATAGCACTGCTGCCGTTGGTGACTACCTCTTCGACGGTCTCCAGAGGCTGAGTGAGAGGTTCCCCCAAGAGATTCAGAATCTGAGAGGAAAGGGTCAGGGCACTTTTATTGCGTTTGATAATGTGCGCCGGGATGAGGTGCTGAAAAAGGCAAAGGGCGAGGGTGTCAATATTGGTGGCAGTGGAGAGAGGGCGGTCCGGTTGAGGCCCATGTTGATTTTCCAGAAACAGCATGCCGATTTGTTGCTTGAGAGGTTGGAGAGGGTATTCTTGTCATGATCTGGTTATAATGGGTTGCAAGTATAGGAGTTTTTGTTTTCATGGCGTTGGTACACTTCTATACAAGGGGACAATTCTTTTGGGGGAATCAACGAGTGCACGAGGTTTTTCCCATCAACACAGGCCACGGAACTTGAAGACGAATTGATATGTCGAATATGATGCCATTTACAAAGCTTATTTTGAAATGACTTTTTTGGATTTCTTGTCTCTCGTTTTGCTCGTTCATTCCATGGCATTTTCGGGCCCTTTCCCCTTCCTCCAACTCCAACTCCAACTCCACTTCACTCCAACCCATTATCTATGACAAACCCCAACAAAGAAAGAACCAAGAACGAATTTGGAATGGATAACTGGCTTAGGAAGACAGTAAAAAAAAAAAAAGAAGAGCAAGTCCAGCCAAGCCAAACCTCGTGGGGTATCAGAGTTGTTCCAAACAAGGGAGAGAGAGAGAAAAACCACCCGCTAAGTAGACAGTTCAATGAATCAACAAAACGCCCGTCAACAAGAAACCGACATGGGGAATGTGTGTGTGTGAGTGTGCGTGTCTGTGTGTAGTGCGACATGGTAATGAAGCGGGCATATAAACACACCAAACTTCACTCTGGCCTGTCCAGATTAATCCTCAATCGATAATCCAACCCTTCCTTCTCACAGTACTCGCTCAGGAACTTGAGGCCAAAGCGCACAGCCTGGATAGGCGTTGTATCCGTGGCGAGCGGCAGGAAGTACGGACCAGACATGCGCGCGCCGCTAATCTTCTCTGGTTCGCGTGCGAGGCGCGCGTTGGCTTCTCTCGCTGCATATGTCTTCTTGTACAGGGATTGCAAGTCTTCAATCGGCAGGGCAATCCTCGCGTCCTGGTAGTGCCGGTTCATCTTGATCGTGTGGTCGGCCAGGAGTGCAAAGTTCTCAGCGAGCGAGTTGTGCTGGCGTGTTACGTCTGCGTTGTTCGCGGCGTCCTGGGGGGAGTCGTGGGATACGGCTGACTTGGGGTTCTGGCAGCGTTGCGAGACGTGTGTGCAGATTGCCGAGGCGATGATGGAACTGAGGTAGGAACGTAGGCCGTCGAGGTGTTGGTGGTCTTTTGTGCAGCGGCTGTAGGAGAGACAGAGGGGGAGGAGCGTTTTCCAGGTTTGCTCCACTTCTCCCGCGCGACCGCGGAGGTTGAGGGAGAGGTCTTGGGCGGAATAGGCGGCCATGTATGCACTTGTCTAATTAGCATAGTTTGTTGACAAAAAATGAGGGTTATGGACGTACAGAATACATTCAAGATTTGTCACCGCAGCTCTCTTCTCGTCTTGCTTGGAGATTTTGCTACCGCCTGTTGTGAGGATCTTAGTTGCTTCATGCTTGAGGGCTCTTCCCATCTGATTCAGCCTCGCAGATGTCTGTCCCAGGAGTGAGATATCCACCTGCTTCTTGTTGTTAAGAGGGGCAGATGTAGGACCAGCCTTGTGCTCCGTCTTTGCGCCCGCTGGAGTTGCGCCAGACCGGCCGGGCGTTGCGTCATTAGTATTGCTTTCGGATGACTGACTTCGTAACATGTTGACTGATTTGATATCCTTCTTAGGGGTGGCGTACTGATTCTGACTCTTCTGTGCACTCGACTTGGTGGATAAGGCTGGAGAGGAGATATTCTGGAGAGGGGTAATGGGCCCTGAGCCTGCCCTGGGACGCTTAGTGGGTGGTACCGTCAAAGTCGCATCCTCATCCGGCCGTGGCCGCTTCTCCGCAACCTTTGTACTCGCAGGAGTTGGTTTTGCACCTGCATTCGGCGTGGGCACCGCCGGCGTGGTAGTCTCTCCACGACGCGCAGCAACTTTTGGAACAGGCTTCTTCTTAATGACAGGCGGGTCTGTGACTTTGGGCTGTGTATCTATCGCAGTAGCCTTGGGCGCATCGTGGCGCTCCTTCTTCTCGGCATTAGCTCGTTTGGATGGCAGGCGGAGGATTTGGCCAACGACTGGAGCCTTGGTCTTTGAGAATTTCAGTTTCACGAGCATACTAGGGTCTGTTGGTTCGGCTTGACTGACTGGTTCGGGGTTGGGCGATTTGCCGTTGATAGAGGCTGAGCGCACTCGGTTCTCAGACTTTGGCGTGCCATTGGACTGTTGAGATCCACTAGGCGGCACGGCCAGCGTCTGACTTTTACGATCTGACGATGATACAGATGCGTCGGAGTCTGCGCGCTTCCGTTGCACCTCTATCCTATCCAGCTCGGCCTGTATGTTGAAGGGGAGTGTGGGGGATAGAATGTTGGGGAGACCGTAGGGATTACCCATTGGTTCGTGTACTGGTGACAGGAGCGGTGGCAGGCCATGTGGTGTTGAGCTGGACGGATCCGATATCTCGACCTTGCCCTTGGAGCTGGCAGTCTCGCTCTTCTGTGTGGAGGGGGCGCGCGGCCGAGTCGAGGAAGGGGCATCACCGTTGGCTTTGCTGGCAGGGTGCTCGTCGCGTGAAGTGCCAGAAGTCCTGTTCGTTGTCAGTAACATGATGACATGTGGAGCGGTGTACACACAATCTTGGCGACTTGGACTCGGCCTTTTGGGAGGGCACAGACAGCTTCTCAGACTTGCTAACCCCATTCGCCAGTTTTGATGCCTTATCTGTCGCAAGGCTGGGCGAGCTGATCTTGACACTGGGAGTATTGGGGCCGTTCGCTGGCTTGACCTTGAAGGCTGAGAGGTTCGGTTTCTTCTTCCCTGGCTGGCCGTTTGCTGTCTGAGAGCGCGCGGGCTCAGGCTCGGGCTCGTCGTCCTCTCCCGCCTGCAGCTCGAAGCAGTCCTGGCATGGCTCGCGGTACAGGTAGGTTCTGTACTGTAGATGCTCCTCGTCCGACTTCCATAATCTTCCTATCTTCCAAGCATTGGCTTGTTGTTGTGAGTAATACCGGTACGGGTTCACCGAAGGCGTCGAGAGAATGTAGGGCGTTCGCGGAACCGCCGTCTTTATGCGCTTGAAGATAGTGTCGAGAGCGTCGAGCTCGCCCTGGTCGTCGTCTGAGAGGTTCTTGCGCTTGAGAGATCGCGTCGTTTCCACGAGAGGCTCAGCGTGGCCGGGACCTGACATTGCGTGTTACCTCCAGGTAGTGGGTGTTGCGTCGGTCGCGTGTCTTTGTGGTGTCGCGGGCCGACGACGGTAGGTGCAGTGGAACGACGTGTGGAGATGGAGGAGCATTAGAAGAGGCGCTCGAGCGGGGATCTGTTGTGACGACGCCGTGGACGCGGTGGGTGGTCGGGGTCTAGTCGAGTGCGCGTGGACAATACGAGGCCGACAATCGCTTTCTGTTCGCATCTCCTCAGTACAATAGATCCACATGGTCGCGCACGCGGATGTCGGGCGCTATCCCTCTCTCACTCACTCTCACTCACCGAAAGTACGCGATGCTACCGTTGGTCGGATCGGCTGGAATCAGACATGGCTCGCACACGAACCCCGTGATAATGCGACGACGACGTGCGTGATCCCAAATAATGACAATCTAGTGTTTGCGACAACAGCGTGGTGGAGAACGACATGTCGAGGTGGACATGGCTTGGCGGGAGGCTTCTCCCGCGCGCTTCAGCCCTGGCCGGAGCCTCTGCCATCGACGATTGGCTGTACTTTGCCTCGACCCGCACCACATCACTTGCAGATCGCTTTGTTTTGGACACGTTCAACGTGGGCAACTTTCTTCTTTGCATGGTGTAGAATCGACACTCGCGAACAAGAGTCTTGTTCATTGCAAGCGTCTGTTCTTGTCTACCGTCGCTTGCTCGGGACCTCCCTGCTGTACCGAGCGATCGACATGGATGACATCAACGCCAACCGACATCCACGCGTGTGCAGCGCACCACGTATATGAGCAAACCGGGTTACCACCTGGACATGTACAAACCCGTAAAGGGTCCAGATAGTAGTTCCAGTTTTCGTGACAGGTTTCATGACGCGCATCTTGTTGGTGGTTTGTATTACTGTTGTTTGGATCAAGGGGTTGTTTCGCACCATTCCAAGGTTACCACTGCGGCAGAAGCAAGCACCGCTTCGGCGATAAATCATAAAGCGAAAGTCTGGATTTCTGTACCAAACGCTTCGTAACAATAATTCTATTTCATTAAAGTTTCTGGATGCGGGTACATCCCAAGATCCTGTAAAAAGGAAACACAGGGAACCAGACGGCGTAGTGGTCAAGTTTGGTAGACATGGTTTCAACCAAACTTGTGCACAACACACTGAAACATAGTCACCCTCTAACCTACAACTCCTCGTCGTCCGTCTCGTCATCGTCGTCGTCGGCTGCTGTTACATCTCTACTTCGCGTTGGCATTCCCGTTCTCTTTACGAATGGAAGCGCTCGAGGTGGTGGCACACCCTTGCTCTCGGTGGCTTCGCTCTTTGAACTCTGTGCGACTGAAGTCGATCTGAGCGTTTGGGACGATGTCTCTGTTGCAGAGGGCGCAGGCTCATCCTCCACATCTGTTTCGTTGTCGGACTGCTCTGGAGTCATGGGCTCCGGCATTTCATCGTTGGACTGCTCTTCGGCCTTGGCTTGGTCAATCTCCATCTGGTCACTGTCGGACTCTGGTACTACATCTGGCTCTGCTGACTGTGCAGGAGCTTTGCGCTTGGACGTTCGTGACGCGCCTGCTCTGCGGGTTTTGGTGTCTGCGGTTTTGGCGTTCGCTCTCGAAGACTGTACAGCGGCCGCTAGACAGTGTCAATATAGTGTACGTCACACTCGGTCATAGATATCTCACTTGTTGGCTTTTCAACCTTTGCGCCTGCTAGGAGACGGCTTTGATCCCGAATCTTCCGTTTCTTCTCGTTAAGGAGCTGCATGAACTGCTGGAGCATGGCAGTCTCGGTCTCATGTTTGGTCTTGATGAAGTCTTCCAGCTGCGCATTAAGTTTGGCAATGGTCTGCTGCTTGCTCTTGACTTGCGCCTCCAAGTCGACCATCTGCTTCAACGTTTGGGCGTGCGCCACGGCTGACACCTGCGCCCATTCAAAAGGGTTGAACTCAAACTCATCGTCTTCTGGTAGAACGATTTCACCCAGGGTGACCTGCATACATGAGCCGAATTCCCAAGGGATTTGGATAGCTGTCCACCTTGATGTTTTGAACGTCCTTGCGAAAAGAAAGCTCAAGGCTCTTGTTTTTCAGGGTGTAGACCATGCGAATGCCGTCCAAAAGGGCGGCTTCGCCGACTTCTGGCTGTTGCTGGAGCAGAAAATGAGACACGATGGTGGCCCACTCATGGTCGCTACCCTTGAATTTGTGTTTAAGTGCTCCGAGATTACGGTGCTTGACTGAGCCGGGTTAGATGGCGAACCACAGTCGTGCTGTGGATACTGTCTTACTCGAGGTGACATATGGGGTTTCGCCCTCGCATCCCACCAATCTCACATCGAGAGGGTGACTGCCCTCCTGCAGCACTTCGATGACGACAGTGTCTCCGCCGTTGGCAGGCTCGACTGGCACGATGTTGCGGGCGGACATTGATGGATGTACCTGCACTAGTCGACGCGGACTGCGGAAGTGTGCCGAGTTGGAAGGTTTGGTGGTGTTGGACTAGGAAGGGTAGTGGTGTTGGTCTAGGAAAGGGTACCGGGCGTTTCAAGTGGTAGGGGGAACTATTGAAACCGTAACTTGAACCACCTCTACCTGAGACAGGACGCGAGGGTTATATTTGCAGAGTCGCGTGGTGGAGGCCTGCTGGCGGACGCGTAGAGGCTCGGTAGGCGCAGGCAGCACCCGCCAGAATGAAGATTTAGTGTTTGTTGTTCAGGCATCCGCCTGGGACGCGATTCGCAGCCGATCAGCACCAGTCCCTCAGAATAGCCACATATTCGGCGCAGAAACAAACATGGGCAGCACCATGTATGGGACTATATAGGCAACGACCGCCTGTATTATGCGGGGGGCAGAATTGCACAATCTGTTCCTGCATATCCCCTCCCGTCACGTAGGACACATCACCGCCGTCATTGTCTCCCGTGCTGCAGGGGTGTGGAGTCTGTTGTTCTTATCGACACGCGTGTCGTAGCGTGCGGGCCACTTTGCGGGCCTTCCTTTGTCGACTTACCGCCTTCCAGCTCGCGTAGCCCTGCAGGAACCTGCAAGCGGTGCAAGAGCGACCCTCGCCGGCCCACAGCCCAACCACCTCAGTACCTCTCGCGAAGATCCTGCACACACCCACCTCACACCGCGTGCCTGCCATAATCGCGCTCCACAGAGCATGGCGGCCAACAACCGCTCCTTTGCGGCGCGCATCGCCTCCATCACTTCGCAGAGCACACAGATGGAAACATGGGACGACGGCGACTTCGACGACCGCTCCGACGGCCTCCTCTTCAAGAACTCAACAGTACACTCGCTATCCTCACGCATGAGCGTGCGCTCCGAAACAGAATCACAGGACGACTGGCAGTTCCTCATCACCCCAGACGACCAAGCAACCAACACTTCCGCCATCAAGACGGCCGCGAAACAGGCCGGCATTCCCATACCCACGAGCGTGCCATCGTCGGCACTCCTAGGGGGCTCCATCAAGAGGCTGGGCAAGAAGAAGTCGACCAAGAAGATCGAGGTGGACGACGACTGGGGGAATGATTTGGAGCTTCCCAGCAACGCGTCCGAGGGCTTGAAGCTCAAGACGCCCAAGCCACGTACGCCAGTAGAAGAGCAGGACGATGATTTCGACTGGGGCGAGGGCTCGCTGGGCATCCGCTTCGCAGGTACGCGACAGGGAACTCGCGGTGCACGCAGCTCTTCCATATCCGCCATGAGTCCCAGCCTAGGCAGCATCATGACCATGGAGAGCGAAGAAGACGATCTGGGCGGTCTCGTGCTTCCCACAGAGGCCATGGACTTTGGTGCGCGTCTGGAAAAGCTCAAGAAGGCCGAGCAACCACCAGCACATGAAGCCTCGCTCCTTCCGCCTCTGCCATTGCGCGAACAGCCCACTGCGCCCATGTCACCCACCTCGGCCCCCATGCAGGAGCCGCCCCAATCACCCATCGCTGCACCATTGTCCCCTTCGCCCTTCAGCAGCCCCAAGGCCTATAGCCCCAAGGCCCACAGCCCCAAAGCACCATCACCCAAGAAGCCCGCAGTCGAAGAGGAAGACTTTGAGGACGCTTTCGACTTTGGCAATGGCGACATCCTGGACCGACAGAAGCTAACCCTGAACAAAAACATTGTCGTAAAGAAGCCGGCTACCAAGACGACCGCCCCACACGCTGCTCGTCCCGCAACTACCATCACCTTCACCGACAGGCCCACTACCTCACGGATACCCAGGCCCCTGCCGTCCATCGCCAGCCGTACCAGACTTACCCCTGTCTACGAAAGTGGAGCGTCCACGTCGAACAATTCCACTCGTACCATGCCCACGACTACCAGTGCCCAGCTGCTCCGCGCAAAGCGATCTGCTCCTGTCCTCCGTAACCTCAACCAGAGTCAGCAACCACGAATGCCATTTCTTCCTGCCGGCGGAACGTCGTCTCAATCCCACCACGTCATGTCAAAGAGCACTTCGCAGTCCCACCTCCGTCGCGACTCGGACCCTCGCCGACCACAGTCTCCCTCGATGCGAACCTACTCACGCTTGTCTGGCGGTGGCAACAATGAGACACCGAGTCGTGCTTCGGTGAGACGTGACATGGCCTCGTCTGCCCTTGCACGTCATCCAGCCCCGAAGAAGCTGACACAGCCTCAGCGCAAGCGCAACTTTGGTGACGGTCATGAGCTCGACCTGTTCGACGACTTACCTACCTCGGCTTCCAAAGAGAAGCAGTTTGAAAAGGTGCCGCGCAACGTCGCAAGTAACAAGTCGCTGCGCACTCAGCCTAGCAATTCACGTCTGCCGATGCCTGATCGAATGCAAACGCCTATGCCTCAGACGCCGCGAAGCCCTCCCAAGATGGACCACACTCCTCGCTTTGCTCGTGACACGGCAGCAAGTAGGAATGCACGTGAGCAGCGTCTGGCAGGTACAAGGTCGCGAGCAGAAGGCCCCGTTTCCACTAGGCCCGTCAGTTGGGCCGCTCAAGTGGCAGCTCGTAGTCCGCATACCAGTCCATCCGCTCACAGGAAGAAAGGCTCGGGACAGAAGCCGCAGTTGATCAGGCAGATGACGCAGCCTTATACACAAAGTACAACACCCAACCACTACTTCCAGCTCCTACTGACCATTGCATAGATGAAAAAGGTATGATTTATAACCCAACTTTACAACGTTGGGAAGGAAACGAGGAAGCTCTTGTTTCCTTCTCACACCCTAATACTTCCACTACAACCCTCGCCCTAACCACGGCGAGCACGCCTACCTTTGCCCCGCCGGGAAACCAGATGAGCCGCGGCCATGACCGTTCCCAGTCCATCTCGCACATCGCACTGTCGTCCATCCATGCCAATCAGACCCACCACCAAGCACATAGAAGCTTCTCGTCGCGAGCGGCCAAGTTGGCCCAGCCGCCAGCACCTGCGCCAGTGCCTTCTCCGCCACGACCTGCCTTGATCTCTCAGATTTCCGTACCACGTAATGTCCAGTACGAAGGCCGCATGGTGTTTGACCCTGTCAAGATGACTTGGCTCAAGGCGCCTCGGCCGGCAAATGAGATTGGATCACCTTCAGAAGTGGACGAAGAAGAGGACCCGTTCGCCGGCCTCGACGACCTCAAGGATAACGAGAGTGTTGCTGGCGGCAATGGCATGGGTGGCGCCGGCACACCAAACCCCGATGACCCAACCTTTGTGGGCGAGGAGTTTGATGTCGGACCTGGCTTCATCCGCCGACAGCGCGACGAAGAAGCCATCTGGCGACGACGAGTCGAAGGCTGGGTCGGCGGCCTCCGCGACGATGGCATCCAACACGGCGGTTGGAGATGGGCGATTCGCGACTTCGCCGCTGCCAGTGCTCACGCTGGACCCCCGGCATTTTAACGACCACGACACTTGTACTATTATGTGCACTCACACAAACTCACGACTTAATGATTGCATGCATCGCAGATCAGATTTGGTCCTTGGGCGCAACTTTGTTGTTGGACTATGTTCCACATACACAAAAGTTAATGATGACGCTGCCCTGGAATGTCTTCTTTTTGAGATATCCCCCATACCCCAGAGTGTTACGATGGGCGTAGTTTTGGATAACTACCGCCTCACTCTTACGTTACGAATACGCATTTTACGACTCTTACGAAAAGCAGCTGCTTGTATACACAAAAAGCTTTGCTATTGCACACATACAAACGAACGCGAAATACCTTACAGATGGAGCTTCACTGCTCGGACATGACTACACGATACGATTTCCTTTTTCCACAGTAACCCAACTCACAGTCTCTCACTACAAGATCCCGCCAGGATCGAGCAGAGGAGAGCTGCACGATATGATTTCTTTTGTTTTTGTGATCTATGGCGTTTGGGTTTGAGACTTCTGTACATGTGAAAGCATCTAATACCATATTCTTGCTACTATCGAACGAATGAATTTTTACGTTATCATCATTTGCACCTTCTTTATGGTGATTACTATCAATGTACAATGCTAGAATGCAGGTACGGTCCTGTCGGATAACGGATCCATGACGATCGTAATGCAAGTGGATATTCCAAACGCCTTGGTTTCACTATATGTATGAGCAAGTCTTTCGATCGTTAGAGGCAGACCATGCATTTTCCCCCTGAATCCGTGCTCCGAAGATCGCACCGCTGTGATGCGGCTCGTTCTCGCGCAGTTGAAAGGACCAAGCAACTGACGCCACCAAATATGCCGTGGGGATCCGTTTACAGAGAAGCAATCATTCATGGTTCTGTTATCATCATCATGCTAGCTCACAAAGAGAGTCTGGAAAGCTACTAGTAGGAGTTGTCAATGGTGATGTGGCTGGCTGCAGCTGCTTCCTCATTGGGTGGTTGGCGGAGTCATAATAGCGGGGTTGCTGCTCACATGCCCAAGTAGACCCACTGCCAGTCACCATATCCCGCCGGGCGTCACCGCTTCTCCTACCCTATATCATGTCGCGCTCCAACGACCCGGGTCACTACTTTCAGACGACGTATGGACTATCATCTATACATCTTCCAACTCTCTAGCTGATACCATGTAGCTCCTCCCTCGAGGAGACAGCTCGAAAGGCTGCAAAATCCAAGAACACCAAGGGCACCCCTATCAAGCTCCCCTCCAAGATCCTCGCTGCCATCGCCGACCCGCAAGATGACAACTGCATCTACGTTGCTGAAGCAGCAGGCAACGTGAAGCGTATCAACATTGAAGTCGGTCAGACCTCCGTTTCGCTGCCCAGCTCGTGGCTTCACATAGCTCTAGGCATCAGCCACTGACATGTTCTCCTATAGACGAGTAAAGTTGCCGCCACGTTCTCAGGACCTACTGCTCCTCTCACATCCGTCGCCGTTTCCCCTAAATCGGACACGTTGTTTGCGGGGTGTTGGGACAAGTCTATTTGGTCATGGACACTGTCCACGCGTAAGACCGCCAAGCGTTTCCAAGGCCACAGTGACTTCGTCAAGGCCGTCACAACATTCACGTTGAACGGCAAAGAGATCCTAGTGTCAGCTTCACAGGATGCTAGCATCATTGTTTGGGACGTCGCCGCGGGATCGAAGCTACACACTTTGAAAGGACACACACGTGGAATCCTCGCTCTTGCGTTGGACCCAGTTGACTACGAGCCCGGCAAAGAGACTGCCACAGTCTTCAGTGCTGGAAGTGACCGAGAAATCAGGCGATGGTC